GTATATAAGACAGGCAGCCTGCCAAGACTAAACAGCCCCAAACAAAGTATAAAACGATCTCAATTTGTAAGTATGAACAGACTTTTATTTTTTCAGTTTAACTTTCAGAGTGCCACTGACTCTTAAGAGAGTCTTTTTGGTGTGTCTTTTTGGTGTGTGCAACCTAGTCTGTTCATTAAAAATCAACTCCATATTATTAAAATACCCCTCCAAAAAAGCCCTAAAACAACTTAGCTTAAAAGTGAATTCCAACACCAAATTACTGTGACATAAAAGTATCCTAGCATACATATTTAACAGGATCAAAATACCCTAGATCCAAAATACCCTAGATGACACAAAATCCTATCTGATCTTGGAAGCTAGGCAGGATCAGCCCTGGTTACTACTTGGATGGGAGACCACCAAGGACTATGTGGTGCAATAGGTTACATTCCAGAGGAAGCAACTAGCAAAACCACTTCTGAGTATTCCCTGTCTAAGAAATCTCTATGAAATTCATGGGATCGTCATAAATTGACAAGTGGCTTGAAGGCATATGCACACGCACACATGCGTCTGATGAATTGAGAACAAAGGAACTCTCATACTGTGAATTCTATACTTTGTAGCTTGCTTTAAAGGGGTGCCCAGTGGCATATCTTATCTGTACATCTAACAATGCTAGGACAAACAGGAAACTATAATGTGACAGCTAGTGTATAAAGGAAGAAGTATGAGGCCATGAAGCTCCTTGAATAACAAAACTGTACCAAACTGTATTCCTTCCAATGCCCTGTAATAATCAATGCTAAGAATATGTGTCAAGTTCAAAGTACTCCCAGAGTACCAGTTCTATCGATTAGCAACACATTTATATATATATTTGTCAGTGGCATGGAAGAAGTTGCAGGGGGACCCTTACCATATAACACAGTCATATCACAAGATCTGGAACAAAAGTGGGGATCGTTACCTTTCCATGTTTTTCATACCATAGCTCTAACAATCCCTTCCCACTGAGCATGCTGAGTGGGATTGATGGCAGTTGTGGGACAAATGTCCTCACCTCTGAACTAGGCCATCTGGATGGAGGTATGGCATGGCTTCTTCCCAGGCCAATGGTTGTCCCTCAGGAAGGTAACACTGGTAATGGGAAAGAATTATGGATTCCTTCCTACTAAATTGCCTCAAAATTTTTAACACTATTGAGCAAGGAAAGGAACAGTTCTCCAGCAGCTTTCACACCACTAAAAGTAATATCAGAAGTTCTGCATAAAAGACCACAGCCTTCTATGGACAAGGTAGAGTTGAAATAATATTCTTTTATTATAATACATTTTTTTATTTTATGCTGCAGTATGAGAGGCATAAAAAAAGCTATTGCCTAACTTGGAACTTTCAAAACAAAGACTGCACATCCACAGCTGTTTCCTAAACCAGAGCCATAGTATGAATATATAACAATTGTTATGCCTTTGTGCTAAAGCAATAAAGTTAAATTGAACAGAATATAGAATACCGTGCTTTTAAAACACTGCTTTTTTCATCCTATAAACTTTTGACTGCCACTCACACAAGAGTATTACATAATTCTCGAACCCTTTTCTACAAAACACACTTGGCTTGACAGGTATCTCTTATATCTCGGGGGGGGGGGGTGTCTTGTCTCACTTGATAGCTAGTATTCAAATACAACTTCCTGACTTTCTCTCTAACTACACAATCACAGGTTAGGCTGACCACTTACATATTACCAAAGAAGAAGAAATGCATCAATAAAGAAGAGGGCAAAAAAGGACCTGGATTTACATAAAATGTGCACATGCTAATTTCTATGTATAGGTACAACATTAGAAATAATTACTATAAATGGGATACTTTACATGCAATACATCTAATTGTAGTGAAGAAGACTCTAAGCAGGTCATCTTTGTGCCTATTCAGTCTGTTCTCCACCTGAGAACAGGCAATGGCCTCCTTGCTAATGCTGATCACCTTCTTAGGTTTCTTTTATCTTTGCACAAGACATGGAATAGGCAACCCTTCAGAGTGTGGATGCCTTCAGAAGCCTTTCTTCTGACAGTGCTTCAAACAGATTATCCTTTATGAATTAGGGTATATGAATAGCTGAACAAAAGTTAAACATACTTTAGTGACAAGGTGGGATCTTTCCATGGCTAAAAAAAAAAAAGATGTTATAGTTCATCTATATCTGTTTGTTTGCTTGTTTGATTAAACCATGTCTCATACACTGTGGCTCTAGAACAGGGAAGAGTAAAATATAATTTATGAGTTGCATGCTTCCCCTCCTACCTCCCTTGCTACTATAGCTGAACTGGCAAGGAGCACATATGCTATTAAAGCAGATTTGTGATCCTAGAAATCTCCCAGAACAGGAAACGGAAGTGTGTGTGCCTCACATGCCTTGTTTTAAAGTGGAAATGCATTCAAATATAAACTTTTGGTAGCCACTGCAGAATTGCTGGATTTTAGCAGTGGCACAACATCTTATTGGGTCTAAGGGTGGCTCCCTGGGGTGTCCCAGATCTCTGGACCTTGCTCTGAGCCTTAGGGCCTGGTCCTTCCTCTCCTATTTGCAGGATGAGAGGGGGAAATTTAATGGTAAGTGCACTGCCTTGAAAAGTGTTTTGTGTATACATTCTCTTTTGTTACGCTTGTGTGTGGAGGGGGTTAATTACCACAGCTGTGGCTGATGCTTAAGGTATGCTGAATGACACCACCAGGAGCCTTCTGTTGGTCTCAGAGTCTAGCCTTGAAATCTCAGGGCTTGGGATAGTGCTAGCTTGACAATTTGACTGCCCTAATCTGCAGAAATTGCCAACCTCTACTCTAAAGTTTCCATCGTCTTTCTTAAAACTTGTTACAGACAGACTCAGGACAAGTATAGTCATCATTTATACTTGCTGAGCCTCTACTGAATTAAAAATATAAGAACACAAGAAAAACTGTGCTGGGTCAAATCAAAGTCCTATCTAATCTAATCTATTCTAATCTCCATCGGGCCTAGCCTAAGAAGAGGAGCCCTCCCTCCACTCCATCTGACATCATCTGGGGGAGATATGCAGGCCCATCTCCATCGGGCCTAGCCTAAGAAGAGGAGCCCTCCT